CCATACTGGAGCCTCCAGCTTCTGTAGGTGTTGTCATTCATACACTGCTCTTCCTGTCCCTACCTTCTCCACCCTGCAAAACTTCTATCTCTTCAATACCCAATGCCCCTGCCCAAATACATCTCTCCAGTTATTAGTTGAATGACCCAAGGGTCAGCAGACGCTGAGCTCTGCTGCTTCCTTAGCTCCTGCCCACCTCTCTGCTAAGCTGCAAATTCTCTGGCCCCTTCTCCTGTTCATTATCCATGCAGGATTCCTGGCAAAGTAACATCTTGGGAAGGTAGTCCCTCAGTAGCTGCCAAACCACCCAGAATAAGACTAGATCTGGTGAGTTCTCCACCAAACCCCAGGACCCTAGATGCCCCCTGGTCAACTTGCCCAGATAGCTCCCACTTCTTCCTATGTCCCGTCCCTCCCTGAGGCCCTTGAGCCTCCCAGCTGCCCTGTGTGCATGACACCCTTCCCACTCTGCCCGCATCTTGCTCCCCCAGGACACTGTGACTGTGGGATCTGATAGCACTGGAGTTGATGATGGAGGGTTTGAAGCAAAGACCCTGAGGCTCCTGTGGCCACAAAACCTCCAGCAGCAGCCCCCAGACAGGGCAGTACTGGTCACAGGGGAGGGACAGCAATAACACTGACTATGAGTGAAGCAACAATGAACTGTGATGCTCTAGAGGCACAGAGATGAGCGTGTTGTGAGCTCAGGACAGCCCAAGCTGAGGCAGGAAGGACCCTGATTTGACTGAAGCAAGAAGGACCCTGAACAGCACAGGTCCCCAGCAGGAACCTGAAAAGTAACATGGGCTGTAACATGTGTTGTTTTGACATTAGTTCAAAATTGTGGACATTCATAAAATTAATTTGCTAAGCAAGGAGATAAGTCCAACCTGACATTCCCATGGCAACATCTCCCAGGCCACTTGCAGGGAGTGGGCTGGTCAGTCTTAGCCTCAGGATTTGAAGATTTTACAGGGAACTTGCTCTCAGGGTCCAGCTGCCTCCAGGCTATGCTGAGGTCTCCAGCAGGGGGCTTATGCAGCCCAAATCGAAGAATGTGCAGCTGGAAGCCATGTGCCCCGTCCTGCTCAGCTTTCCTGGAGAGCACCGTCTGCAGACGTGAATCCCGATGAGGTCACGGAACAGCCGGGCAGCCCGCGCCTCTCTCCAGGACCTGGCACGCAGCACACGCAAGCCATGTCTCCCTGCCAGGCCCGTGCGTCCTCCCAGGAGGCCAGCCAAGCTTACAATCTGCCAGCTGGGGACGGCTTTATAGTCCCACCGCCCAGGAGAGGAGGGCAGTCCAGCCCCAGGCCGTAGGGGAGGGCTGGCACAAGAGGGCGGCAAGCTCAGCAGCAGTCTGCAGCAGGCAAGCACTGTGCCTTCGCGGCTGCAGTTCCAACACCACTTGGCCGTGGGAGCAACATTCTGCTTCTGTCTGCTGAGCATGTTTCCCAAGAGCATCAGGTGTCTAAGGGGCTGGAGTTCCACGGCCCAGACAGCTGTTGTGAGCAGAGCTTGGACATCATGAGCCTCCTCCTCCTGGTGGGCCACCCCTGAAGGAGACCTGCCATGTCACCTAACTGGGGTTCTGCTGCCTGTCCCGCCTTCCCCATGGCCTCCAACACACTGGGTTTATATAGTTTGGCTTCCAGGAGCTGGAAGTGACTGTTGGATCTGCCCACATGAGGAAATCCACGAGAGAAAGGAGCAGGCCTTCCAGCAGAATGGGAACAAGGCATCCTCAGGCCACCATGGCCAAGCCCAGCTCTCCTCTCATGTCCACCTGGCAGGCAACTGAGGGAACAGATGAGACTACAGCAGAAGACAGGTGGCTCGGCAGGTGGGCAGGTGGGCGGGGAGCTCTGCCCAAGGATGAGAGATTGCTCAGAAGGATGTCTATGACCTAAAAGAGCCTGCTTCAGCAAACCCATCCCAGGAAATGTCCCATCTGCCAGACAGAGTAGACACTGCTGCTCATCAGTATGAGCCAAGGAGTCTTCTCTGTGTTGCTTGGTGAAGGCAGAAATGGGAGCTGTGAAGGCTGGGAAAACATCCTCATGAGGAAGCAGGGCAGGTGTGCCCTTGGACAGCCCTATAGCCAAAAGCAATAAGACACCATGAACTTCCCTTAAGTCTCGACCTAGTCCTTGGTATTCCTGATGCCTGGGGTCCGTACTGACTTTAGGCTACCTGGTCAGTCTCAGAGGAGAGAAGTTCTTATTGTCCAGAAACCACTTTAGATGCTTTTTACAAGGCTGTGAAAACAATGCCTCCCATGGGCCAGGTCTTGATCCAGAGGCATAGATGACAAGCTGCTCATTGATCTAGCCCCAAACCACTGCTTCCTCAGTGCCCCCCATCCAGGGGCCTGTTTCTGATGACCATAAGGCAGGGACAGACCTAAGCATCCATTGCCATGCTGGGATGCCTTTCTATGCAGCCAAAGTATCAAGTCCTTTGAGGGGCTGGTCCCAGCCCACATCAACATCTTCCCTTGTGCTAAACCTTGCACTGGACTGGAGGAGCTGTGGTCAACAGAAATGACAGCCAACTATTGCAGTACTAGAATGATTCATTCCCATTCTCAAGCCCATTCTGATACGGTGGTAATTATACCTGTAATCCCAACTACATGCAAGGTTGAGGCAGGAGGATTGTAACTTACAGGCCAGTTTGGGCAACTTAGACAGGCCTTATCTTCAAAAAAAATTATTTTTTAAAAGTGTAGGGGTGTGGTTTAGTGGTAGAGCACCTGCCCTACCATGTACAAAGCCCTACATTCAATCCTCAGTATAAATTATATTATTATTACAAATGAATGAATGAATGAATGAATGCCTACAAGCAAAACAGATGGGTGGGGGCCATGGCAAACTGCTGGCACCTTCTAGAAGCACCTTCCACTCAGTTCAACTGGTTGTAGCTAGAGAGGAGCAAGACCAGTGTAGCCAAATAACAGAATCTAAAGAAATATAGGAGACCTACAGTAGATTTTTATGTAAAATCTCCTGATGTTAAAGTATCAACAACTAACTCAAACAGTTAAAAAATAAAAAGTACTGTGCAAGCTGATCCATATTCCTCTCTGGGCCAGGACATAAACCTGCCTGAAATATTTGCAGTTCTGTCCACCTCCATGCTCACCATGCAGAGGGGCCAACAGGACTGCTTCTTTCATCCAGGCAAGGACAGTGATTAAAACTGAGGAGAGACAGGGCCCCTCAGCACACACAGTACCCCAGAGCCACAATCTGTCCTGACCCCAAAGCCACAGCTGCTTCAGGTGGTAGTCTGGACTTGGATTTCAGGCAAGCACTCTGAGTCAGCCATGGACACTGGCCATGGGCTACAGAGGATGGAACCATGTTGAGGGACATCCCAGGGTACAGCTGCTGGACCCCAAGCACCAGGTTTTACAAGACCATGGAGGTAGGACACGCTTCTCATGACCCAGCCCAGATGACACCCTTCCATCACATCTCATTAATCCATCCCAGGCCCAAGGAAGGGGACTTGATTCTACTTTTCCATGGGAAACACCAGCAGGAGCCATGTCCATCTTCAGTGTTTTGAGTTTTGGGGAGACTCGAAGGCTGGAGGAGTCTCCTCACTCCAGTTAAGCACCAACTTCATTTCCAGACTGGAGGACGTTAGCCCCTAGACATCCAGATTAGTGCCCCACTCAAGCTATGTTCACCATTACATGTGAGAAACCCAAGAATACAGAGGACTTAGCCAGCTTTGGGGATGGGAGGCAACCTCGGGGCCAGAGGCCTGTAGGAGGCCAACACCCGTATCACCACCCACAGCTCACGCAGGGCTCAGTGGAGGCTCTACACAGTCTTCAGTGGGGACACTGCCTGGTCCTCTGGGCCTCACAAGGTCCAAGGAGAGCAAACAACTTTCTGCAGGGTCATTGTTGACATGGCCATGGTTACCCCTGGGTCTCCTCCACACTGGCAGGAGGAGACAGAAGCCCTGGGACTGCCATCCAGACCCTTTGAAATAAACCAGGGAGAAGCCCCATATGCAGTCACCTCTCATGCTCCTTGGGGCCATTACAGCCTGGCTGCCACCTGCATAACCCTCTGGGTGCAGGGTACAGAGAGACATCTGCTCACTCCCTGTCACCTGTGCAACCAGAGGCTGTCCTCAATGCCACCAGAGCCATAATTTCCTCTGCTTGTGGTTTCACTCTTTCCTCCTCTTTTCTTTTTAAAGAAATGTTACAGCCAAATGAGTCTCCCATCCTAAGGAACTGAGGACGGTGGGAGAGTGACTGCAGCTGTTCAGTTGCCAGGTTCCTTCCCTGTCCCCGCAACATCTGGCACCCATCTCAGACATGCTCAAGGTGGCCATCACAGGAGGCAGCTGCACATGTCCCAAGAACTTTGGACAATGGTGAGAATGACCCCTGAATTTCAGGTGGAAAAGTCCTCCGCCACCTTTCTTCCTGAGGTCACTGTCAATTCATGTGCAGATGAGGTGCACCATAAATGCATGAAGACACCCTTCACCCCAGGGAACACAGGGAAACTGAGCTCACAGTACAGACCCCAGCCAGTTCCGGAGTCTGCATCACTCTGCTCGCTTTGCTCCAGCCTATCTCATTACACTCTGTATGTGTGTGCATGTGTGTGAGTGGTCACATATATAGACCTGTGTGTCCACCACCATTATCAAGAACAGACCTTTTGTGGCTGGGGATTTAGCTCAGCAGCACAAATGTCTGCCTGGTAAAAGCCAGGTTGTAAGTTTAATCTCCAGTACCAAAAAAAAAAAAAAAAAAAAGACCTTTTCAACCTCAATAAGAGTGGGCACAGCAATGACAGGCACAAGAGCCATCATTCCCTGTGCCTTGCATGGACATTCATGTGGGGTCACAGCAGGTGAGATTGAGCTGTTGCCAAAGAGGAGCAGGGAGGAGCCACACATACCCAAAGAGCATTCATACCAGGCCCTGCAATCTGGGGACTGTGGACCTGCAGAGGACTCACCTCTGTGATGATGTAGAAGTCATCCCCGGGCTCCCCTTGAACCACAATTTTCTCTCCATCTTCAAACTGCACGGGCTCCAGGGCATCAGCCACGGTCAGCCGTTCCCACTTCTCCAGGGACTCTGTGGGGAGCAAGGAGTCAACTGGGTTCCACGCTTCAGGAAAATACAGTCAACCAAGGGGCACCTCAGGCAATGAAGGCGGAAAACAGCAAAGCTGCGGAGAGCTGGCACCATCACTTCTGTGCCAGTCGTGGTTGGACGGAGCCAGGCTAAGCAGGTGGCTAAGTGCAAACACCCGTCACAGATCACCTTCTAAACAGGAGGCGCTGAAAACTGAGTCGAAGCTAACCAGTACGAAAATACTTTTATTTATCTCCAGAAGAATAGAACTGCCTGTAATTCTATAGAGAAAGGGGCCACAGCTGCTCTCCAGCTACTGTGTGGTTAGGAATAAGCCACAGTGGCTGAAGCAAGTACCTACCCAAAGCAGCTCCTTCCAGTGGGGACTGATGGAGATGGAGGCACTGCCATGATAATGGCATGAAAGGGGACAACTCCTTCTACTTATTTTAGACTAAAATGCTTAATTCTGATGCCAAGTTTCAAATGCTTGCAAAGCATCTTTCCACTCTTCTCACACCTCCCCTTCCCTGTCATTACCCTCACAGAGGAAGAAAAAAATAATAATGTAGGAGTTTCATGAGAGAATGGTGATCACCTGATCAACTTTTTTTTTCACAAAATAACTCTATGTGGCATATATTTAGATGCTACCTAAGTAGGTCAGCTGCTAAAAAATTTATAACAGCATTTATTTTAGATCTAGGTTAGCAGGGGATTTCTCTGCCTGCAACCTCCTGCCAATGCCACATATCCCAAAGGACGCTTCCCACTAACCGCAGGGTCATAGCAATTCTACTGTACTATATGCAGAATGAAGTTGCTTCAATCATGATTGTATGAGCAGCTTTCTTAGAAAGGTCTTTGGACAGAAGCTGCTCAAGGTACCAGTCTGGTGGCATAGGCCTGTCATCCCAGCTCCCTGGGTGGCAAAAGCAGGATTGTAAGTTTGAGGCCAGCCTGGGTAACTTAGCAAGCTTAACTCAAAATTTTAAAAAGCTAGGGGCTAGGGGCTGGGGATTTAGCTCAGCGCATAAGCGCCTGCCTTGCAAGCAGGCAGTCATGAGTTCGATCCCCGGTACCGGAAAAAAAGGAAAAAGACCAAAAAATTAAAAAAAAAAAAAAAAAAAAAAAGCTAGGGGTGTAGCTCTATGGTACAGTGCTTGCCTAGCATGTGTGAAGCCCTGGGTTCCATCACTAGTTCTACAACAACAACAACAACAACAACAACAAAAACAGTAGTTGCTTGGTTATTCAGAGCCTGGGGTTTTGCATGTATACACAGGTCAGCACACGAACAGAATGCAGTCATTCTGGAACAAAATTATATTTGTGTTCAGAGGGAAGGGGTGCACAAGTGGCCTGGTCTGTTAACACGGGGTGCTTGGATAATCCACTTCTTCATGAGGACCAGATTTATCTGATTTTTAGAAGTCAGTTTGTAGTTGGGAGATTCACCTCCACACATTTGGTTAGCTGAATTTTGTTCCCATGACATTTGAAATCTGCAACATTATAAGGTCTGAAAATCAAGATCCGAAGTAGCTTTATCTCATAAATCATGGGTGTAAACTGGTAGAAGAAGCTATAAAGGAGATGGCAACTTTTCAATGTCTCAGACTGTCAAAGCAATTCATAAAACACAAAGCATTTTTTTAACTTTCAGTTTACAATCCTGTACCTCCGGATATAGGACACTAGCAGTGGACTCTAGCAGGAGAATGCTGTGACCTAGCTGCACTGAGTTCTGCCTTTACGGCACCTACCCCAAAAGGCTCGGGTTCCAACACATGACAGAACCTGTGTGAAAAACCTATGCACAGAAGGACAGCACGTGGATATCAGTGCCCCCAGCGTGAGGCCGCAGAGACCCACAGTGTGGACCTGATGGGGAACTCAGGGCTCTCACTTCCTGTGCAGCTGTGTGGGGCCGAGGAGGAAGCAGAATCGCAGCACAGAGTGAGCAAGAATGGCCCACGCCCCGCAGCTTCACTCAAGGGCCTCCCGAGCCTATCACACAGTCCCAAGACTTTGTGGAGGACTTTGTGCAGCTTGTGGTGACAGGGAGAAGGAATTAAGAGTTCTGTTGCTATTCCCCCAGGAGGGTTGTGGAGAAGTGAGCCACACTTGACGGCTTTGCATCAATCGCAGGGCAACAAAACAGCAAACAGAAGCCAGGCAGGGCCGTGACTCTAATGAAGGCCTAAGGTGTTCGGAGGAGAAAACCAGCTCCCGCCAAGCCACAGGTCCCAACAAGCTGAGGTCCTGGGGTGGTCAGCAGCAGCCTCCCCAGGGGAAGCAGAAGAGGCCACACTGAAAGAATGGAGCGGCAGGTTGACAGCTGTCTTCGGACCTGCTGGGCATGGGTGACCCCACACGTACCCTGGATCTGGGGCGAGGAGACTAGAAGGTAAAGCTGGGAAAAATTCCAGCTTCGGGGTTTGGCATAGGAATAAAATGTCCCTCATTCAGGAGCCAACTTAGGAGGCAGGGAGGACGGCTTCTGTTCAGGGTGAGGACACCGGCGGAGCCAGATGTGGGGATGTTGCACAAGACTGAGTGTGTGCGCCCCTCTGGACCACACTTCTAAAGTGGCCAAATGGTCTGTTTTATGTTATGACTGTTATGAAAGGATTCAAAGAGGGTGCAGGCTCAGGGCAAGTCTTCCCCAAAAGTGGGTAGGCACTGTCACATCATACACACACACACACACACACACACACACACACACACACACACACACACGTGCACGCCAGTGAACCTTACTATTCACGTACTCAAGCCAGGGGCACAGCCAAGAGGCTTTTGCCTCTTTCTTCAGCCTAGTCATGTTCAAAACAATTCAGCAGTAAGTTCCCTGCAAGACTGCTGAGCATGCTTAGAGCCGGGGGTGTACCTTTGAACCCTGAATCCTTTGGTAACCCAGGCACACTGCCATCAGGTAACATTGGGAGGGCAAGATGTTCTCTAGAGATTCACGCTGGGATTAACTAAAGTGGCAAGGAAAGAAGCTCACTCAAACCTGAAGCTGGTTGTAGTGGTGCACACCTATACTCAGAAGGCTGAGGCAGGAGGATGGCAAGTTCCAGATCAGCCTGGACAACTTAGTGAGAACTCATCTCAAAATAAAAAGGGCTGAGGAAGCAGTTCAGTCATGCAGTGACCCTAAATTGAATCTTCAGTGTTCAAAAAATTTGATGAAGCCAAGCAGGCAGCAGAAGAGACAGACAAACCCAACTGTACGCCCCAGAGGACAGTGTATGTGCATGCCTACATGTGTATCATGTGTGTGCATGCACACGCACACATGGGCATAACACCACCTGCCAGCCACACAGGGAAAAAGAGAGTGTCCGGCTGGCAGCAGGTGCTCAGAGGAGGCTGTGAGGCCCAGGGACATGCAGAGCCACTGACCGAGGATGGAGACCTTGCTGAGGAACTCCTCGTACATCTTGCGTTTTCTCAGTGTGCTGCCCTGTTTGGGAGAAAGAGAAAACACAGAAAGTGAGTTTGCAGGCCTGAACCATTCTGATATTTCCAGATTTCTCATGCATCTTCACAGGAGGGGCCCTCTGAGGGACACAAATTCCAGCACCAGCCCTCTCCTTCCCCCTGGGGCTTCCAGGGTATGCCAGCCTCTGAGGGCACCCATGTTGCCACCTCTTGGGGTCCACTTCAAGCAGGGCCACCCTGAACAACCAGCTGGGCAGTAAGCAAATGACAGTTTGAAATTTCCAAAGCCAGTAGGTCTCAGAAGACCCACTCTGCTGCCTACCAAACTCAGGAGTAGAGCCTTCCGCCAACAGTGAGAACTACAGGATCCCACCCTTGCAGAAAGATCCAAAGGAGCAGTGGTGCCAGGGGCAGCAGGGAGTCCCGGGTCTTAGGCTGCTCTGGGCAGGGGTTCTGAAGATCTCAGTGCATCCTCTACCTTAGTCTGCATTCCCTAGCTCCACTCAGGGGCCCAGATAAGTTTCAGGTAAACTGAGAGTCCAAAGCCTAAGAAAGAAAAACGATGCTGGGTATGGTCTGTAGGCTCGGCACTCTGAGAGGCTGACACAGGAGGATCACAAGTTGGAGCCCAGCCTAGGCAACTTAACAATGTAGTGAGATTGTCTCAAAATAATCATTAAAAAACGACTGAGATATAGCTCAGCGCCAAGGCCCTGGGTTCAATCCCCAGTACTGAGAAGAGAAGGAAGGAATGGAAGAAAGTGAAGATAAAGAAGGGAGGGAAGGAAAGGTTAATTCTGAAGAGTGCTGGGGCCCTGCTGGCCTCTGCATGGAACCCAGGGTCTGGGGTGGAAGTGGGGTCAAGCCCAGCCCTACAAAGCCCTGGGCTCTTTTCTTCCCTCAAAAAAACATGGAGCCGGGGCAGGGAAGTGCCAGGCATTTAAGAAGCTTCCAGATTAGACCTGGGGTTCCAACAGCCCGCATGTGGGGCGAGTCTGAGCTGACATTCTTGGACCGTCTATCGTCCCCCTCATCTCCTGTGTCACCCACGTCATGTCCAGCTTAGCGCTAAGTGGACGCAGGGTGGGGACACTCAATGTGTGATAGCCACATCCAAATCCGCCCAAATGGGGACGGATGCAAACACAGACTCGACTGACCCGCAGGGCACTCCCGCCACCGGAATCCACCAGCACTGTCATTTTCTTTCCCGAGTCACATGAGCCCTGTGGACTTCCAAGCTGGCCAGCACTATTCTTAGTGCACAAGGATCCGGAATTAGCACAGAGGAAGTGCCGGCTCCCAGCATGGTTTGAGAACTTCCCTGAATATAAGGTTCCAGCCACAAAGATCCACAGCCAGGATGACACAGCACAGATGGAGCAGAGACTGTGCCAGGTGCACCCAGAGGGCACAGACACTCTACGTCCTCTTACAGATGTTGGTAGATATCCAGCAGACAGGGGCCTTACCAGATCCACCCCTTGCCTGCAGGGCCCTATTGATCTGCTCTGAGCCCTGGGAAAGAACTTGTGGAACTTGGGGCTGATGAAATAGCTGTCCTGACTTTACTGGCCCTGTCTGCAGTGAGACAGAGCCAGTCACTGGACGGGGACCAGGATGGTGCAGCAACACTCCAGCAACTCTGGCCACAGGACCTTTGCAATCATTGCACTCTGGCCAATATTCCTGACAGCCTTTGCCCCAGCTTCCTGCCTCAAGGCCTCTGCACCAATGTTACCTAGAAGAGAACTCTCTGGCCCTTCTTATTAGAGAACAACTGCTCCTCAGTTCCAGATCACCTCCACAATCCCACCCCGGGTGTGTATGTGTTTAGTCTGTCTCCTCACCCTGGAGGCCAGCTCTGTGCCTCCTATTCTGTGATGCACCCAGCCCTAGAACAGCCCTTGGCAGATAGCATGTGTGAGGAGTGGGCGAATGACCTCCTCCCTCAGGAAGGGACTTGTCCTTCATGTATTTGCATGGTCCCAGTCATCCTATGGTGGGCTGCTTGTGTGCACACGCACACATGTGCATGTACACACACTGTATCTCCTGAGAGATCTGGATGCATGTAAGAACAAAACTAAACCAGTACAGGATTAACCCTAGTGATCCCCATGCCAAGGAAGCCTGGGAGTGAGCACTCTGGCCCAGCACAATGGTCCCACCAGCTCAGCAGGGAGAACTTTCTCATACTAGGAAGATGGGTCTCTCAAAGTCACTCTGGATGCTTGCTCAAGAATGGGTGTCTGGGCTGGGAATTTAGCTCAGCAGCATTAAGCGCCTGCCTGGCAAGCGCAAGGTAGTGAGTTCGAACACCAGTATCAAAAAAAAAAAAAAAAAAAAAAAAAAGAATGGGTGTCTGACACAGCCCCAGAACCCCATCCCCACCCGCCTCTTCCCACCCCGCCTGGTGGAGCCTCATCTACCAGGGTGCTACTCACCATCAGGATGCGCCGGTAGCTGTCACGATCAATGCCCCAGAGCTTGAGGTCGGTCTTGGCCTTCACAGTAGCAGCCCTGGGCGTGCCGTAGATGAGTGCCAGCTCCCCAAAGCTTCCCCCCTCGCTGATGTTGGTCACCCACTCTCCATTCACATACACCTTCAGGGGACACAGGAGAGAGACATCAGGGCACAGATGCAGGTTGCCCACTGCCCAGAGGCCCTGCAGGTCTCCCAGATGCCCTTGGGAAGGGCACAGTGTTGGCCACAGTCCTGCTCCACACAGAGACCACACAACAGCCCAGGATCTGCCCAGCCTCTGGAGTTCAGGCCAGGACCAGAGACTGGGCAGCATAGATCTGGGTTATAGCCAGGAATGTGTCCCCCACTACTACTGCTCCCAGGTGGGTGCTGGATTCAATTCCCCAGTAATTCTCTGAGCTGGGGCCTCTGCAACATGTGCTGACTCCAGGTGGACACTCAGCCCTCACCTTTCCCTCTCGAAAGCTGCCCCTTCCTTCCCTGCCACTCAGTGATCACTCCAGGCGCCCCGTCTCCTCCCCACCTCTGGGGGCCCTAAGGCAGCCACACACTGTCAGAAGTGAGCCCCTATCCTGGGCCCTTCCTCCCAGGGGGCAGCAGCCAGGCCCTTGACTGGAGCCTGAAAGGAGTCATTGGCGCCACGGTAGATGAGCTTCGCAAAGAGTGGCCAGGACAAGATTCCCTTTCAGGCACACAGCACCGCCCCGCACGGCGAGCCTGTGCCCGGCCCGTGCGCGGCCCACACCCAGGCGAGAATGGTGCAGATTGTTCATTATGTAGTGATTATGCAGATTCGGTTACTATAAATTGACACAATGGCTTCTTTATCCCCACAGTGGTCAATGAGCGTACAGATCGGTTCCCATTGGCAAAATGGGTGCGCAGGGGAAGAATGGATTGTGATGAATCATGGAAGCGATTCTTACTGAAATCAATGACTCATTATCTGATAATAACTGGGCACAGAATTTCCCATCTGAAAGAAAACACCCGCAGGTGATGGATAAATTCATAACCACAGATGAGCAAGGCTGGGAACCACAGCAGGTCAAAGACAGGGCCCCACCTGCCAAAGTTTGGAGTCCCTTCTCCTCAGGCCCAGCCAGATCTGCTGCAGGGCGTGGCAGGGGAGCACCTGGCCACATAGGGTGGGGATGGGGGTATGGCTGCCCCTCCACAAGCCTCCAGGAGCCTAAGGCATCATCCTCCCAAGGCTCCAGGAAGCACGCCCAGCCAGGCAAAAAGGACACACAGAAGGAGGGTCAGCAAGCCCCAAGATTTAGGGATGAGTTTAAGGGATCTCAAGTAGCACCCAGCAGGACTTCTGCCTCTCTTAATTCCCAAAGGGCACATAAAGCCTATGATGGGCACAGCCTGGCCTCCAGTGTGGGAGTCAGCACTCCACTCTGCCTATATTTCTGAGGGCAGGACCCAAGCAAAAGGTTTAGTGAGTCGTCATACCACCCAGAAATGCTAGACCCTCAGACACTGTCCCCCAGGCCTTGGGTCCCTCATGCAGGTTTTGTGCCTCAAGGTACAGCATGGGGCTGTCTTGGGCCATGTGCCTGAAGTGGCATCTGGTCACCTACTGGATGGGCTTCAGGAGGTGGTTCAGGGCTCAGCCCCTCTGCACCCAGCATCATCCCATCCAAGCTGAATGGAAAACGACAAGGGGGTAGACCTGCTCAGGTTGCAGGGTCTGCTCCCCACAGAACTGGGTGGCAGCTTCTGGGGAACAAGGGAGCCCTTCCAGTGGTTTCTCAAGGCAGGAACAGGACACCCTGCCACCTGCCAGAGGCAGGATCCCCAGGAACAGAAGGACATGTTCTGGCCCAGCCCCATGCCAGCTGCACCCCTATCTTTCTTAGGCCATCTCCAAAGACAGTGGAGTAATGACCAAGAGGCACAGACCCTCTGCCCGTAAGGACCCCTGCCCCACCGAGAAACCCCGGTCTCCTAGCACTAGCCTGGGTGTCAGAGAAAACCATTGTGTGGACAAGCTCAGGGCCACCCCCAAGGACAAAGGGGCCATCCTTCTCAGGACACTGGCCTCTGTCACAGCTCCCCAGCAGGGCAGAGTGGGCCCCACCCAGCTGGCACGCAAAGGGGCTGCTCTTGTCTTAGTTCATATTTTTTTCTCTTTTAAAAGAAAAATGGTGGTGGTGGTGGGAGGCCCCAGCGGGCGGCGCCATGTCCCTTGAGGTCGCTCTGCACATCCTTCTTCCTCCCTTCCCTCACCCTTCACCACTCTACAGTGGGTGACAGATTCCCATCCTTGGGAACTGTCCAATAGATGGGAACCCCGAGCCCCTGTCAGACCTGGTAGCGGGAACCCTGGGCATTTCAAGTCACCCAGCTCCATCCCCTGGGAAAGCCAAGTATTCGGACAGCAGTAGTACATGCAGGTGAGAACAGTCACCCAGTCTCCCACCCAACCAAGGCAAAGGGATGGTGTGTGACTTCAAGGCTCAGCTAGGGCAGCATGGCCAGTATCAGTGGTCCTGATCCTCCTGCCTCCCAGCCCCAAGAGAAAGAACAAGGCACTTGTGTCCAGCTGACTCAGTTTCCCCACCACCCAGGCCCATACTGCCCCAACTCTCTTTAGCCCTCAGTACCAGGGGTCTGGTTTCAAGTCACTCTATTGGTAGCACAGGGTCCTTCCTGAGGGGACCATGCCATGTCTAATGGCCACAGGATCCCTTATCATACCTCTAGCTGGCTGGCAAGGCTCCTCCAGGACCCATCCCAGCCTTTCTGCTCTCTTCCGTGACCTCAAGACCTCATATACAGGGTCAGCAGCTGACTTCCTGGCCCAGCAATTTTAAGCCCACCTTAAACTCAGGTGCTGTTCCTCATATCAACACCACCATCTATACAGTGGCCTAGGACTCTCCCACTCCCAATTCTAGGAAGAGTCCATAGCCTGTCACCTCAGACAAGGCTCCCCAGAACCTCAGGGAGCACAAGGCTGGGCTGGGTAAATACACTCAGTGCCTCCAAGACCTAAGAAACCTTCACAGCAATCTCCAGGTTATAGCCACTTGGTGCTCAGTAAACAACTGATTAAAATAAAACTCTCAAATCAGGGTCTCCAGGAGACATTTGTATACAGCCACCGGAGTGTCCACTGATGAGTGACAGGTAAACAGTACGTGGCTATGCAAACACTGGAATACGATTCAGCCTCAAACAGGAATGGGCTTCGGCGTAGGTGGACCTCGGAGACACAATGTTAGTGAGACAAAGCCAGACACGAAAGGACAAACACTGTGCGACTCCACATCTATAAGGTCCCTAGAGGAACCAGTTCATGGGGACAGAAAGCAGGATGGTGATGTCTGGAGTCGGGAAGGGGACGGGAGTCAGGGTTCCATGGAGGACAGAGCTTCTATTTGGGAAGATGAGAGGTGGACGGGGGTGACAGCTACACAGCAGTGTGAATGCACTCACTGTCACTGACCTGTGCACAATGGTTAAAACCCAAATTTTAATTTGCGTGTACTCTACCAGTTTAAACACACGCACACACAGAGCACTTGGCAAACGCCCAGCAACAACCAACCAGGACAAGGGACCAGGTTGCCACACCCAGGGCTGCGCAGCAGAGACAATGTAAAACCTCAGAAGGTGACAGGAAAGAGCCTCAAAATAACAAAGGACCAAGAACAACAAAGGTAGGGAATGGGCTTCAGACTGGGCTAGAAATGGAACGACGGCACTCCTGAGCCGGTAACACCGACAGCTGAGTGTCCTTTTAAGCAGAAATGCTATGTTCCAGGAATAAAATAAATTGGGAGATATTTTTATACTTAGAAAAATGGATTATAGCTCTTGGCAACACACACACAGCAAGCAGGCATTTTGGGAGTCTCTCTGGAAAACCATAATTTAAGCCAAACCAGTGTCCTGGCATTTGGTACCTGGTCCCCAGGGGCTACTGTACAAGAGGGCAGTGTCACCCTGCAGAGAGGGCACTCAGGCCACCTCAAGGTCCTGTGGCTGCCTCCTGTGGGGAGGGGATGCCCACCACGATGGCTCCATTCCCACCCCACCCTGCAGAACCCACATCTTTGGAGCCGTGGAGAGCACGCTGGACCCAGTGCGTGTCCACCCTTGACCTCGGAGGGTGTTTACAGCAGCAAACAGAACACACAGCAGGGCTCAGGGTAGTGGGGCTGGACTGAGCCAGGACAGCTCTGGGCTGTGGCAGCTCGGGGCACAGTAATCACAGTAATCATCCTGATGCACACCCTGGAACTCCACCCACGGCCAGTCTGCCGTGTGTCGGTCCTGATTCGTTACTGGGTTCCTCGGATTCCTTCAGATGTGGCCTTCGGCACCAGCCCTGATGTTTACTCTGCACACAATCGCCCCCCACATCACAGCAGCTCCCCCGCAGCTCCTGTGCCAGCCCCACCCTGCCGCCTACCCCATCCTCACTGGAAAATCTGAAGGGATTGGCAGAGGTGCCTAGTGTTCACATGCAGCCATAGCAGGCAGGAAGCTGGCTGTGCCCATTCACAGACGGCTCTGTAGGTCACACATCCTGGTGCCATCAGGGCCTGGATGGCCCAGACTAGGGGCTGCACCAGGAAGCGGTATCCACTTTTGGTGCCCAAATATATTCTGGTTCTGCCCTGAGGGGTTCAGAGAGGACCTGGAGGCCACTTGTGCACCTGGGGCGGGCGCAGGATCTAAGAGACAATGTGTCGGGGAACTCCAGTTATGTGAAAGTGACCTCACTTTTTCCTTCACACAATTGCCTCCACATGTCTCCGGGCTTGGTCAGATGCCAGAGACAACACATCTCACCCGGGAGCAGGGACAAGGAGCTGGCCAGAAGGCGAACTTGCTCTTCGACCCTCACCTTGCCCTATGGCACCCTGGCCTGAATGTTGTGACAGTCCCTTGGGGTTGGGAGGGGTCCTGTCAGGATGAGTCCGGGTTTGGTCCATGTTTTCTGTTTTGTAGCACTTGGGATGGATCCCAGGGCCTCCCATAGGTTAGGCAAACACTGGCTACTGAGCTATATCCCCACTCCTTTAAAATTTTACTTTATTTTATTTTATCATTATTGTTATTATTTGGTACTGGGGATCGAACTCATGACTGTGCAAGGCAGATGCTTATGCCACTGAGCTAAATCCCTGGCCCTCTAAAATTTTATTTTGACAAAGGGTCTCCTTTGCCAAGGCTCACCTTAAGCTCACAAGTCTCCTGCCTCAGCCTCTGATATGGGAATGAACCAACATATTCATCTGAGCCTTGGATTTGAGGAAACTGGGACCCTGCTTTGAAGGGGCTCTGTCCACCTCATGCTCAGTCTCTGAGGAAGTCCTGGACGTGGCGTAGGGCAGGTACAGTGCATGACACAGACCATGGATAACACTTCCCTGTCTACAGTGAGAGAAGGAAGAAGTGTGTGGGGTGGGAGAGGACCTCAGCAAGGAGACAGAAAGCACAGATTGAAAGGCAGGGCACATGTGTTCCCAGATGGTGCCCTGTACCCTTGGCCCATCCTAGGGGTCCCTTGTACCCGGCTGGCCCCAGACTGGAGGAAACTGCTCACAGGCAGTCAAGGACAGTGACCCACTGGTAACAAGCCCTGAAGACATTAGGTCCTCACCTTCCAGGGGTCCTCCTGGTCCACTAGTACAGGTGTGGGACCAGTCAGGTAGGGAAGAAGGCAGTCAGGGCATGGATCACAACAGCAGCCCAGGGCAGCTGAGATCCGTGGTGGCACCACATGAGCAGCCTGCTTCTCTGACCTTGGGGGGAACAGTGAGCCATAGCCCTGTCTGAGTGACGCAGAAAACAAGGCCAAGAAACAACCCTGGCAAAGAAGCCCAGTGGGCCCTTGGGGTCCTCTGAACGCTGTGGGCCCTGAAGCAGCATCTGCCATCCCCACACCTGCTCTTTCAGGTCAAGCCAAGACTGAATCAGAATTCCCTCAGTCAGTCCAAACCCTCCAAATTCTGCCCCAAATTGAAGGTGCCCTTAGAATGCAATTGGGAGATTTCTACCACTTCAGGGAATGCAGAATAGGGGGAGGAAAAGTGAGAGCCAAGAGCAGGATCCACCAGAGGCTCCCAAGCTGGCAAGGGAGAGTCTTATCTTCCATCATCTGCTGGGGTCAGCATTTGTCAAACCCCACAACAGAGGACCCGGTGTGATGGGTCTTGAAGAATGCAAAGAGTTGGTAAGGCAGAGGAGGAATAAGAGCAGAGGGCACAGAAAGTCAAAGTTCTGAGGTGTGAGATAGCTTTTACTAATTTCCTGTTGATCTGCAATGTGGACCTACAAAACCTACTCCCCTGCTCAGGGCCTGAAAGTACCATAAACATTTGTGGGGAAAAAAGGGGCAAACGGTGATGATCTGGGGGTGGAGGGCTGAGAACAGCATAGAATTAATATATGGGAGACAATTGTAGATCAAACCAGGAACAAGCCATCTCTACCTACTGCTGTCTCTGCCCTGGGCATCCCTCACACAGTACAGCATCTGAGGACCTGCACTTTCCTGTTCTGCCCTCCCTGTACCAGGCCTGAGCTTGGGCAGTCCCATGTCAGGTGTGACAAGCCGTCTCTTGGGCCTGGCCCCTAAGGCTGTACCCTCCTGTCCTGGGTTTAGCTGTGAAGTGAAAGGTCAGGCAGTGACCATGGTTGCAGCTGAGCCCAGTTGGACCTTCCTATCCTCCCTCTTCTTCACGGTTCCCCCTAGAAGGGGCAGCCCTAGCCCTGAGCTCCTGCCTCAGTTTCCTTTAGGAGGACAGGATCCCCCACTGACACCACAGTTGCCTCAGGCCAGTCGAGGGACCATGCTGTTAGATCCAGTGCAAGACAACAACATAGGCCACATGACAAAGAGAAGTCTGGGGACTCAGGGTGTGCCCCACCTGGACTTCTCTTGAGTCACTTCCTGTGCCCCAGCTCCAGAAGTGGGAAGCCTGAAAGTTTCCAGAAAAGTCAGAGTGAATGCACTGGCAGGCTGCTGAGGAGGAAGGTGAGTAAATGCCCTTCCCAGAAATAGCTGAGACTGGACAGAGGCAGAGGGACAAAACCAAGTCCCAAAATAGCACCCAGCCTGGGGATCGGATGTGGGATGGCCTGACACCTAGAGGGCACTGACAGGAAGGTGACCTGGAGCAGCTGGCAACACTCTCTATAGGGGAGGGGAGAGCGTGGCTGAGCCATTCCCAGCCCAAAGAGGACCTAGGGCCAGCTTGGGAAGGTCTGGATCTGATCTGGGGCCTTAGGGACCCCAAATGCCCAGTACTGGAGATTCAACTCCTGAAGATAGGCCTTAAAGCCCAGGAAGCCTGGCATGGAGATGCACACCGGTAATCCCAACACTCTGGGAGCCTGAGACAAGAGGATTGCAAGTTCACTCCTGGGCAACTTTGTGAATTAATGAGACACTATCTCCAAATAAAAACATAAAGGCAAAAGCCCTGGGTTCGATCAAAAAAGAAAAAAGAAAAAAAATTAAAAATAGCCCCCAGGAAAAACTGCAAAATCACCACTAAGATAGGAAGGGATATGCCACAAAGAAGCTAATGGCATGGGTACATCTGCAGACACCCAGGCTAAGGAAGAGACATCAGAGGGTTAAGCAGTGATGCTCACAGTGATGCTATGACAGAAGGGTGGGCGTCCCCAGCCAGAGACAGCATTTGCCCCTGTGACAGCACAGTGCAGGGTTCCAGGAGGAGCAACAAGGGCTTCCATGGGGGTCACACTGAGGCCAAATTGGAGGGCTTTGGCAAGAGCTAGGTCTTCAGCTCCAGGAGGGCAGAGGCAGGCACCTAGAAAGGCAATGTCACCACCTTTCAAGCCAGGGCACCTGGGGCTCAGGTGATGGCAGCCCAGGAGGCAAAAGGAGGCAGGTGGGTATGGAAGACCTAGCTGACCTAACAGACCAGTGGAGGAAGCTTCATAAAAGTATGGGCCTGAGGGCATGGCTGCATAACCTGTATTTTCACTAATCTAGAAAGCTGAGGCAAGAGGATCGAAAGTTCAAACCCAATTTGGGCACCTCAGCAACACAGAAACCCTGTCTCATTAAAAAAAAAAAAAAAAGTAAAAATTAAAGAGCTGAGAATGTAGTTCAGTGTGAAGGTCCAGGGTTTAACCATCAGTATTGCAAAAAAAGGAAAGAAAAAAAAAGTAGGGGCCTTCACTGTTGGCGAGTGACAGCATAGACAGCATCCCTGAGGATCACAGTATAGCTTGGGCATTTGCAACAAGGTGGCCTGGGGCACAGAGGACCCAACTCCAGGCAGGGCCTCTGGGGTCTACAGATGCACAGCTCCCTGGCCAGTGTTGATGTCCAATGGAAAACTGGCATCATCACTGGCTACTGATCTGGAGTCAGCACTGAGTCAAACCCTCCCAACTGTCTGCAGGAGACAAAGGCCCAGGCTGAGGCCAGCACCTGCCCAACGGTTCTGCGGCCACCTGTGTGTTTGACATTTTTTTCTTATAAAGACCTTTTAAAGGAAGTGTATTAGTTTTCATTTAACAGGGTGGGGTGCTGGTCTGTGGTACAGCAATTGCCTGGCATACTCAAGGCCCTGGGTTCTGCCCCTTGCACTGCAAATAAATAAACTTGAGGAATATGTCACTTGGAAAGAAGAGCCTTCCGATGGGGCTTGTGGTGACCTGCTCTTCACACTGGCTAAAGAGGGAAGAGCTAATGTACAAAAATGGTAGTCTGTACTCACATCCACCTCTCCTTGGTCAATTACGTAGAAGTTATCTCCTTCATTCCCTGTAACAAAAGAGACAGGAGACATAAGATAAAACTGCCTGTTAGACATAGGAGCTACAGTGTTTTGTAATGTTTTTCTTCCAAAGAATATCTGCAACATTGTCTACATTATAGACCTTGGCCAAGGAATACCCTGGACCTGTGTGTGTGTGTGTGTGTGTGTGTGTGTGTGTGTGTGACAGAGAGAGAGAGACAGAGAGAGACACAGAGACACAGAGACAGAGAGACAGAGACAGAGACAAAGACAGAGAGAGAGATCAGAAAGACAGAGAGACAAAGACAGAAAGAGATAGAGATCGGAGACAGAGAAAAGAGACAGAGAGAGAGACAGAAAAAGAGACAGAGAGAAAGAAAGAAAGAGAGAGAGACAGAGAGAGAATACAAATGATCCTCATGCCTCAACCGCCTGAGTGCTGGATCACAAGCATATACCACCATGCCCGGATTCTTTTTTTTTATGACAAGATTATGAATATGTAGTTAATTTCAGTTATGTTTGTTTTCTTAAATTTTGCAAATGAGTCTTCTGGAGGACTACACAGAGCTTCTTATGCTAAAATCTTAAGCACATGAACCACCTTCCCCAGATCTGGGGCTCAGAGGCAGCAAAACATACCTTGCTGTATGACCGTCTCCCCAGCAATGTGAGTGACAGGGAACATGGCATCAAATATGTCACTGAAAAACGAAGGACACCAGATTAGGGACTACAGGTAACACCTGGTAAGGTCAAATCCTGCTGCTCTGGACCTGTAAGACCCCCTGCCATCCAGGAGACACCCAGGTCCTATTGAAATCCATTCACAGAAATCAGTGAAAATGAGAAAATCTACCTAAGAGAGGAACACTAAACTCCTTCCTAATCCTCGGTTCAGGTTCCCACTGTGAGCCCTATCTCTCCATAGACACAGTTTGCTGCTGGCTTTTTATGAAAACGGAATCACATTAAACACAGTTTTGGATTCCAGCTAGGAAAGAGTCATTACACAGCGTGAACATTTCTGCTGCCAATAGATACAATTCTGCTAGAAACAGCCACCAAGCCTGATAAAGTGTTTTTTGCATTGATTTTTTTTTTTCTTTCAGAGAAAACACTTCTAGTCCAAGAACATCCTGGCTCTCGATGCAGAAATGAGTGGCGAGCTCAGCACCTCTGCAGAGGATGTGGAGGCTCTGGAACACACAGACTTTACGAGCCACCAAGGCCAACCAGGCAGCCTGGCCACCTAATTTCCTAAATTTAGATGTGAAATGGTTGATGCAAATGATGCCCAGGGGAACCAGGAGGAGCTGGAGAAGCCCTGAGCCAGCAGAGATACTGGCAAAAGTAGAGGACGTCTATCCCATCACCCATTTTATTGGGACTGCCATCGGAAGATAGGAAGAACATTGGTGTCACTCCCTGAAAACCAGTGACAGCCTTCAGAGACCACCCCTTAGTCCTTGGGTTCCCAAAACAGAAACTGAGGAGCCACCTGCAAAGGACAGGATGCCAGAGACTTCAGCAAGATGTGCCTGGCTCAGTGAAGCTGCAGGGGCAGCCCCTCCTGCCTGCCTAGATGGACCGGGGGACCACAGGACTGGTAGGTTGAGGTAAGCCTTGAAAGCTCACAGGGCTCCCTCACTGTACCAGTCCAGCAAACACAAAATCAAAGATCCAGGTGACACAGGCTCCAGAAAAATCTAAGTAATTCTTAAAACAGTGGTTGTTTTCTCTCTATTCTAGAAATTCTTCTATCCCCTGATGTGTCCTTTTGTTATCTTTTGTTTGATTCTGTATGTGCTTATCTTTTCTATAGTCTTATAGTTAATTTATGTACTTATGTATTTTTAAAGAGCTGCAGTTGCTCACTGGGGAAATGTTACATCTTCCCTTTAGGGCCAACTTGAGGTTCTTAACATTTTTGAAGCATCCAAAAAAGGCGAAATCTGGACTTGAAATGTTACAACGTGCTTATCTGAGTGTGGTACAGACTCCAAGCCCAGTACACGGAATGATGCATCCAGGACGGAAACCAGGAACTTATTCACAGCCAAACATACTTTCAAACTAGCCTAACATGCCAAATACACCTCCAAAGATTACATATGCTGAGACACACCGCCTCTTCTCAAAGTTGCTGGAAATGAGCAGTTTGGCAAAGCATTTCAATCTGTAAGAGATGAATATGCTCCGTATGTGGAGAATAAGCCAGGCTCCCACAGAAGGCCTGGTCACATGGCTTACAAGGTGACCAGGTCCTGTCTTTTCACAAAAGTCCACTTCCTTCTTCCCTGACAGACGGGCTCCTAGCCCATGTAAGTGCAGGTCCCACAGGAATCGTTGCCTGAGGATGATTCCACAAGATTCCTCTCAACCTGATCCAGCCTTCACAATCTTCCCTTAAACTCTCAGACAGGTCTGGGAAGCCAGGAATGTGAGATCCCAAGAGAGAAGCAGGCGAGTGGCAATTAAACTACTGGAAACTGAAGACATGAGTTCACAGGCCCAAAGAATGAGACATGAGGCTCCCGTCAGCCTGGGATGGGGCTAGGCATCTGAAGGGGTGCCACTCCCAACAACTGCATCCTCTGTGTCCAGTCAGGGCAGGAGGACATAGGCTCAATGCTATAGACCCATAGAAAGAAATCCCCAGGCTGTGTTATGAAACCTCTCTCCACACGCAGAACATCCATCAATGCACACTGAAGTGAGGCCTTGTTCTTCATGGCCAGCTCAAGACCATGCAACATCACTGACCAGGTCTGGAAGGGTCTGTTGGCAAAGGCCTGGCCTCCAGAAACAGATCTCCACTCAAATAGCAGCTGCCAGTCTGAGCCCCCTTGGCCCTGTGCCGACCACCTGAGACCTCATAATACTCTCTTGCTCAAATTCACAAGGTCCATCTCTGTTCTCACCTTACACAACAAAGACAAACTGAAGCTTGAAAAGCTCTGGGAGACAGATGAGCCCTGGCATCAGACTCTGTTCAGGCGCCTCCACCTACACCCAGGACAAGGCATCCAACCATTGTGGAGAGGAGCAAGAGTACACAGGATGAGGGCAGGAGGCGGCAGAGTCTAGCCTAAAGACCACACTGCAGACCACTCTCCTGCTCACTGGGCCATTTAGCATCCAGTGGGTCATGTACTGTGTTACCACTGTCCCCAAAAGAGCTATAGACTTTTTACCTGGCCATGTAATTTTATGGGGTTTCCCACTCCAGCAAAGAGGTAGTCTTCAGCTCACAGTGCCCACTGACTATTCTTGTTTTACTTATGTATTTATTCCTCTATCCTCCTTGACCTTCCACAAGTCACTGCACTAGGATCTCTGTGGTACATGCTTTTGTTTGTATGTCTTAAAATTTTGAACTGTGGGCATGTTCAATGATTTGGATTTGAAGTCTCCCTCCCCACCAAAAAATACCTCATGAACTAAAAAGCTTTGGTCACCAGCTGATAGGCTTTTGGGAAGGTAATTGGATGATGAGGCTCTAAGTTCACCAAATGCATTAAATCCATGGATGAGATCAAAATGGCATTACTGGGAGGTGATGGGAACTCAGGAGATGGGGCCAAGTTGAAGGCAATGGATCATGTGGATGTTAGCTGAGTACTACATCTGGTCCCAACCTCTTCACTCAGGCTCTTGCTCTCTGCTTCCGGTCTATACATGATGAACAGCCTCTGCCACATGCTTCTACCATGATGTTTCAGCAAGTGATCTAGCCAACCATGGACTGAAATCTAAAATCACAAGCTCAAATAAACCTTCCTCCTTTAAGTGCTTTTTCTCAGGTACCAGGGAAGGTGACACCTGGGCTGTGACTGAGAGCCCTTTTCTGTTTTCATCCCATGTCCCTCATCTCCAAGCTCCAGGCTTCTCTCCAAGGGCCTGTCTGCCACTCCTCTCCCGCTGGTTTCCTGTTCTCGTCCTTTGCCCATCTCGATAGTCAGCTGGTATCATTTTTCCTGCTGAGTTACAGGAATTCCTTGTCAGTTTTATACTTTCCAAATATTTCCTGCAATTCGTCTCCTGGTCACATTCTCACAATGTCCTTAGCTAAGCAGACATCTTTCATTCAAGGGCAGTATCTTTCCTGCTCTAGGGCCTCTGCCCCTGTGGGTTCAGTAAGAGTCTGTTTCCCCATCACAAAGTCACCCAATACTACATGGCTGTGTTAATCATCCCAGGCCACTATGACCAAGCACCAGAGACTGAGCAGTTTAAGCAATATTTATTTCTCATGGTCCTAGAGACCAGAAAAGCAATCGGAAGGTCAACAGATTTGGCTTCATGAGGACTACTCCCTAGCTGGTGATGGTGGTCCCACCTAGCTGTGTCCACAACAGAAGGAGCTTGGTCCTGGCATGCCCTTACAAGGGCACTACCCCCACCCCAGGGTCCCTGGCCTCCTGTCTTTCCCAAAGCCCCACTTTCAAATACTGTCAAAGAAGCAATCAGTGATTCAGATTATGCAATCTGGGTATAAGGAGACACAACACAGTTCATGGCAATCACTTTCTGCTAAATGTATCATTCTCATATCTACTTCTGGGTCTCTAGCCAATCCTACAGGGGCTCCAGTTTTGGTCCCCCAGAGAGTCAATGTCACCTTGAAGATCTACAAATTGCTCCACACATGCCAAGCAGACCGAGAAGGGGATATAGGTTGACACATCCTCCAAAAGTCCAGATGTTGGGAGTTCTAACCCCCAGGCTCTTACAGTATCTGGAAACAGGGTCATGCAGAAGTCACTGGTTAATGAACTCATGATGGTGGAGAGAACTGCCTAATTCAATATGACCCATGTTTAGTTTCCCTAGTGTAGGAAATGATTCAAATATATAAAAGTACGTGATAACCATGATTCCCCATTATGTAGCCTTGAAGCCTTATAAAATTTTCACTCATTAATGGGAACGGCTTCAATCTGGGCTGTTTGATATTATGGCCTGTGATGCAATGAACAGCTACTTTGAAGAAAACAAGACATCATAATAGCTAGTGCTAATTAAATACCATCTTGTCTTAAAGCCACACCAAACTATGGCTCTTCTGTCTCCATTGATTTTATCATGTTGTAGCTTGCTGGATTTTATCGTATGTGGTAGTATAAACAAAAATTGTTATAGGCAAAGAGATAATATAGAAACCATTGATCATTTTTTCTGTTATCTGGTTCTAAATACTCTACAATGCTTTCATCCACTTGAATGGTGTTACATAGTCTTGATATGTTTGATGCTATAGCATATGAAGTTATATTCAAATATTTCAAAGAAAAGACACTATGGTAACTACTATTAAGTTGGGTTATTTGGTGGTGAAGCACTAGGTTGCTGAAAGTGTCATGCTTTAACCTGTATTGTTATGTTGTTATGCCCCCTTTTATCTCATCCTCTCCCTTATTCATTAAAAAATTATTTAATTTTTTAAATTCCTTTTTTAAACTAAGGGGAAAAAATCAAAAATCTAGCAGGATATATTATAGTAACATTTTGATTTCCTATCAACTTGAAGTCCTGTAATACCCCCGTTATCTTGTTTTGACTGATTAGACTCTATTCTGCTCTGTATGAAAGTATCAGGTATCAGAGTATAGGCAACTACTTTAAAAGCAATAAGATTCACTATGATGCCCATTCTGGTTTGACTATTATCCTCTTTTGAGGTGCTGTAAGATTTACAAAG